ACGCGAATTTTGGCATACGATAAATACGGCGATGAAGGCAATTACGAGGGTATCACCTGCGTGTCTCAACTTCGGTCGTGAGCCACGTCAAGCGAAGATCCTGTCGAGCGAAGAGATGGAGGAGAAAAAAATAAATACAAAATATAAGGTAAAAAAATTAAAGTTCTGACAATAATATGCCTAAACGGTAATCGGGCAAGGTGACGTCCTCGAAGAGGTACTCAACCGTTGCGAGCCGGCACAAATACTCGTCCGCAACGGGGAGAGGGAAAGAGAGGGAGAGAGCTCACGTTATCGCTGCTGTTATTGCTTCTGCTATTGTTCCTGATGCAGTTCCTGCTGTTGTTGTTGCTCTTAGGCGCCAGTGGCAGCTCGGAAGCACCATCAGATCTGATTCGGAAAACCTGACCACTCGATAAACGGAAAAACTCAGTAGGACAAAAATGGTGCAGCAGGTATTGAAGGCGTCTCCTCTTTGTTCTGTCAAATTAGTGTCCTGCCTTTGAACGAGTGAGTGCCCGATCAGACACTCGCAGGCACATCACGCTGGTCCCTCACGGACGTCTGCGGCTCACGCTCAGCCCAGCCCTCAGATGCACTCATTCGCGCACATATTGAGCCAGACAACCATCTCTTTCTCCTACCTTTCTACCTCTACATCCCCCCCACCCCACGCAAGTTCACATTCATGGTTTGCCAAAATCCTCTTTCCCGGCTCCGTTAATCCGCACGTCAAACCAACAGTCTGGGAAGGTATACGATAACACAAACATGCGTCCAATCTGACGAAGGCACAAACGGAAGTGCCAAGAGACAACAAATAAACGACAAATAAGAAATCGCTAGCATAGCTATTTTCTCCGTCATAAATTATATTATAATGATTCAAGGGTCAAAGTTGTTAAATATCGAGTGAATTTATATCTATCACAAATTGACTTTCATTAACTATTTTAAATAATTTAATCTATAGGTTTTTCAGTTTTTTTATTCCCTTATAGGTCAAGCAATCTAGCTACCAGCATATAGGGTTTCATGACAAAATTCTGGACAGGTAACCAATAGTGCCATCGTATAGAGTATGTAGCCCTCTTCAATTTGACATACTTTTAAACTCTCAAATATTATCCCGGAATTTGTTATTAACAATTTTAAGCAAAAAGTCACACTTTATTTGGTTTTTTCACTATAACTTTGCAAATAATGTAGCGATTGCAACAGTGTCACGCGATTTTGTAACATCATTACAATCCAAGAAAACTCGGAAAATCCAGGAAATTTTGCACTTGTAAAAAAACTTATCATATTTCCGTCAATTTTCAACTTAAAGAGCTGAGATTCAAAACAATAGTAGCTGGATATATTTACTTTAAATTCGCAAAATCTTGATTCTATGCAACAGTTAGTTTTTACGCAAACAGCGTTCAAACAAATTTATGCGAAATTTTCCTTCCCCAGTCGAAACGGCAAGTTTAATTTTTATTTTAAAAACAGTTCCGAAAAGTACATGATTTTCGTTCCAAAATGTATATTCTGGTTATGAAAAAAAAAAATATATGCAAACTAGATCAGAAACGACGCGGAAGTCCGACGTTTTCGGCTGAGCGTACCAAAATCGTTGAGTGGTGGGGATAACAGCGATAAAGGAGACACGCGTATATATACGCGTGTCTCCTTTATCGCTATATAGTAATACATGTGTCGCGCTTGCAGCATGAGTATATTTTTATTCAATATGCATATAAACATATGTACAATGCAAGATGTACGATCGCAACTATATTTAAAAATTACATAATTACAATCAACTTTATATGAAGAATACCCTGTGATTATTATTCATCTGCATTTTACATTGTGATTATTTACTAGCATTTCAATAAAAATTACACGAATATATAAATAATGAATCGATCATATCAAAATACAAAAAAAAAATCAATATAAAATTGTTCAAGCAATCGCAAGTACATTAATCAAATTGAATAAAAATATACTCATGCCGCAAACGCTACGCATGAATTCACGTAACTCCTCTGCCGCTATTATTCCCACCACTCGACGAATTTGATACGCTCAGCCGAAAACGTCGGACTTCCCGTCGTTTCTGATCTAGTTTATACATATACATTTTGAAACAGAACTTGCCGTTTCGACTGGGTAAGCACCGGAAAATTTCGCATAAATTTGTTTCAACGCTGATTACGTAAAAACTAACTGTTGCATAAAATCAAGATTTCGTGAATTTAAAGTAATTATATCCAGCTACTATTATTTTGAATCTCAGCTCTTCAAGTTGAAAATTGACGGAGATACGATAAGTTTTTTTACAAGTGCAAAATTTCCTGGATTTTCCGAGTTTTCTCGGATTGTAATGATGTTACAAAGTCGCGCGACAGCTGATTTTGTTTATTATTCACTTACCTACAACTTTTGCATTGACACTGTTGCAATCGCTAAATTATTTGCAAAGTTATAGTGAAAAAATCAAAAAAAGTGTGACGTTGCTTAAAATTGTTAATAACAAATTCCGGGACAATATTTGAGAGTTTAAAAGTATGTCAAATTGAAAAGGGCGACTTGTACTTCATACGATGGCACTATTGGTTATCTGTCCAGAATTATGTCATGAAAAAACCCATATTGCTTCGCTTATTAGAGTAAGCTGTTTACCAAGCAATTATTCCATAGATAAAATAGTTTAAAATACTAGATATTATAAGAAACTTCAAATATCAGTAATCATAATTTTAGATGATTTGTAGAATATAAATGTGAAGTATTCGGTTTTTTATATAAGTTTAATAAATGTAAGTTTTATATTGTTATTGAAACTTAGACCTAGATATTTGATGATATCTATTCTATTAATTATTTTCTCATATATTTAAAGGTTCAAGTGTTTGGGTGTTTGTACTACTGCATTGTTACCAAATTCAAAATAAGCTTTTTTTTTAATGCTGAGGAACAATTTGTTTAATCTTAAGCAGACAACAACAGTCTTCAATTGTCATGCTCATGTTAATTTCTACTTTTTTCCAGTTTTTCCCAGTTACGATATATGTGTTATTTATGAAAGAAGGATGGTGATCCAAATTGAAAAAGATAAAGAAAGAAAAATTAACAAAGAAAAAAAAATTACAGAACAATTTAAGAACAAATGAAATTAACTCAAAACAGAACCAAATAAGACACAATATAATTACATGTGTTTATATAATTTATGATTAATATTTAATCATTGGTCAACTTAACTATTAGAAATTGAATATAAAATTCTTAGTTAATGATAAAAAATTTATTGAAAATATAATTTTGCAAATTCCAAAAATTGAAATGTTTGTATTGGATTATTATTCAAAAATATTATTTTCTTGCTTGAAGGGAATATTTTATTTGTTTGTATAATAAAATTCATTTACAAGTTTGAAATTCAATGATATTCAATAACTAAATAACAATATTATTCATAAGTTATTCATTAATAAAGTTTGTTAGTAAATTTTAAAATAAGGGCTGTTGTGTCATAACATGGATGCCAGTGAACAAATAGTGTTTCATAATAGGTCTCAAAAGTACATCCAGTATTTTAATTATAAATTATCAACTTCAACATGAATTTAAAATCTAAATACGATATTGATTCTATAAAATACACTCCTTTCAAAAAAGTACAATAGTATCTGCATTGATGTTGTTTTGAGTAGATTTTCAATATTTTTATTTTTGTCTGAGAATAATGTTGGAATCTAAAGAGGCTATATATTAACTTAATTAAATAAAAAAAATTATCTGTGGAAATTGAATTTTGTTATTTCATATTATAACATTTTATACAGGTTTGCTCTCTCAAAATTAGTAATTTTTAACATCTACTAATACAATAGTATATGATTATGTGAGTTATTTATTTTAATTGCAATTAAAAATACAGGCATCTAGAGTTTCATAACTTGTTACTTTATCTTAAATAATTTAAATGGCATTGACAATTTATTCATATTATTTTATAGAATTATGATTTGATTATATCTTCATTTATATTAAGATCAAATTGGAATGCAGTATACAAAATTGTCACTAATCTTATTTTAAGTTATTTTAAAAATACCATTTACAAAATGGCATATTTCTATACTTAGCTTCGCTACCTTCTATTTTTTTATTATGCTTATTAATAAATAATTAAATATAACATATTTATAATATGACAATGATGGGAAACATTTGTAATTTTTGTTCACTTTCCAAATCAGTTGGATTAATAAGAATTCTAACGTACTAATAGTCTATTTGTTCAGTTTAAATATTACATTTTTCAAAGTTATCATTTAACAGACCTAGCAGTATTTATTTAAGTATTAATTTAAGTTAATTTTTAAGTGGTTGCATGATAAAATTGAAATTACAAAGCAATTTAGTAACTTATTTAAGATTCTACATAACTATAAATATTGATCAAAATTGAATTTATTTTTAATGTTTTATCTAACAAACAAACATAATAAACAAGAAATAGACTTCAATATAAAAACCTCAATTCGTGACTATTAAATCAATTTTTCTGTGGTGATTGAAATATTCCTCTTTTACTTTAAACTCATGAGATTTATTGTTAATTCCAAATATCTCTTCAGGAATTTTTTAGGTTTCATTTTTTTGCATTAGTTAATGATTAAAATAGAACATAGCACAATTTTCTTTTAGATTTTTCCTGTGCTAGAAAACAGCTTTTATTTCAAATGGAGTATAAGAATGATAAAATTTGTTGGCATCTTTGTCAGCTTAAACTTCTCTAAACTAATAACCTGAACAATTTTTTGATCATCGAAAATTAATTTTTTTTTAATATTCAAAAATCACTTGGTAAAATATAAATCACGATATTTATCAATAAAAAAGATTATAATTTTCTCTAGATATATGTTCAACTTTAAAAATAAATGATACTTTGGTATTAATCATAACGAAAAGAATTTAGAAGACTAAAAAATTATCACCTGAATTTTTTTCGCCCAGAAAATTAAGAAAAAGTGACTGCAAAAATTTTTAATTTATATCACGAATGCTGTAAAAAGAAGACGAATAGAGATAAAATGTACACCCTCAGTTCAGCCCCGGAAAATACTCAAACTAAAAAAAAATAATTCTCATCAGAGTCAAATTTGTTCGGTTGACCTATGCTGGCCGAATAATTTGCTCGCAATACATTTTCTAACAAAAAAATATAAAAGTGTTTCTTTTTACGTATACTTTTAATGATAATATCTCGCCGAAATATCAATATTTCTTCAATTCTAAGATCTAAAAAAATTGTGCACTATTACAAGAAAATATTCCCGTTGTAATATATTTAAATAGTACCTTATTTTTTATATATAAATTTTAAAAATATACATATACTAATCAGTAACCGCAGCCAACTCCGTAAGTTTACGCATGCGCAGGATGACTATTTGAATTACTGACGATACCAATCACATTATTCAAATTCATAAAAAATAATATACAATTCAAATATATTATAACGGGCCAAATTTTTTCTATAGAATAGAAAGCAATTTTTTTTTAATCTTAGGATTGAAACAAATATTCAAAAAAATATTCAAAAAAAATATCGGCAACATATTATTATTTAAATTTTGCATAAAAAAAACACTGATATTTTTTTGTTGAAAAATGTAATACGAGCAAATTACTTCGCAATCATAGCTGAAATGAGCAAATTGACTCTATTGAAAATCATTTTTTTGCATTTTAACTATTTTCCGGGGCTAATCTGAGGGTAATAATAAATTGGGAGATGATTAACTACAAGTTTAGATCTTCATAACTTCAGCACACTCTTATCAAAAATTCAAAAATACCATCTAATAAAAAATTCGCGTGATCTACGTGGTATAAATCTGTAATTATAAAAATATCGCATCTCTTAGTTATCAAGATATTTTTAAAAAACGAATCTGTGCTGGACGATATTTAACAATTTTTTTTCGATATCGGCAGGATCTATTTTTTATTTGAGGTCCCAAATAATTGCGCTGTTTCGAAATATGCAGGAAATAATTTTATTTTATGTGAAAATACCATGCTTTACAGATTGTGATGGAGAATTCCGGCCGTACCCATCTGGGTTGCTCGCGACCGTCCGCACAAATTATTTATTCGGGGATTCGGGAAGCAAAAGACGTTCCCACGATTGAATAACGCGTCGAGCATAAACACGTTAAACGCACAGATTCGAAGTCGGGATGAGGAGTGATACAGCGGCAAATAAACACAACAGCGGATTAACACACTAGTCATTTAATTGTCAACAATCGATTACAATACGGCGACCTCGGACTTATATACTACGAGCGGTACAATAACAAATGCGAACGCGAAGGTGAATCGGTGGCTGGTCAGCCGGCCGACTCCCTTGCGAAAACTAAATAGTATAACAAATGCCCGACAAACACTTTTCGCCGATAGACTATCAACGGGTAGCCAGCAGGCCTGCCATGTTACCAGTCATAAACTGGTGCCCAAACATGCAAGAGAGAGACAGCTAGTCTATGCGTCGTTGTTGTTCAACACTTTTTCCGCTTTGAGGATGGTGTGGCGTATTCAAACATTACCACCCTTTCTCTCTGGGCGCCATTAGGTTGGCATAGCCCACTGTCTTTCACTCCTTCGCTTTCAAGTATTTGGAGATCCGGAAGTCAAGTTTGCTGCGACATCCCTGGCGCACTCAGCGAGTCGGAGCCTTATTAATCTAAGGCGGTGACCTCCTCGAGAGGAGTACCGATCTTTTCAAGGTTCGACGCTCAGGGAGAGCGGAACTAAAGGCTTGACCCTCGGTTTGGGCGCGACGGGACTCTAGTTGCCCCGACGTCTGCCGCGTCGGAAGCACGCAGCGTACAAATCTTACGAGATTTGCTTGACCTGGTACCACTACCCCGCAGAGGCCAACCCAAATTGGGATGTCAGAGGAGAGACTCAGCCAGGACAGCCCAAGGAAGATTCCTTAGGCGATCAACCAACTAAGCCTCCCTCCTGGGCTCGCGTTCAAAATACATCCCACCCTGCGTTCCTGTATTAAGGGATTTCTCCCACGACTCACAGGTCCATCGCTTCGACATACCGAGGTACGTCTCCCCATTGCGTTTCGGTCATCCCCGCTCACGCTGGTGGGTGTCCGTTAGCAAGAGAGAGACAAGAGAAAAACACGGCACCGACCTCGACCTTCAGCCTCTTCAACGGCTAGAGCGCTCTGCACCGTGACGTCACTGGTGTGCTCCCCGCTGACCGTCTCGCTGATGCCTGTTGTCGTCGCTATTTTCCTCCCTTTCGTTCCCTCGTTCGCTCCACAATACTGCTGCCTCAACCCGTAACTCGCTCGTTGGTTGTTGTTGCTGTTGTCTTCGCCGCCTCTTTATTGTTCGGTGCTGCAGCACGTCCAGACTGCTCGCGCGCGCACCCGCGCACATCGCCAGTTACCCACACGCACCGGTGCCGGGTATACTTCGGGACACGGCTGGGTGCGACCCAGCCTCACGCTCCAATACTCGTCCGCGCACCGGGCGTGTATCCGAAACGAATGATCGTGGACGAAGTCGCGAGGCCAACTTGGAAAAACCGTAACCGTCGGTTTTATCCGCGCGCGCGACTTCCTCTGCTTATAGCTTAGCAGAGACTCCCCGAAATTTTCCACGGCGATCCGCAATTCGAGCGCTCTCTCTCTTTCTCTCTCTCTCTCTCTTCTTCTGCGCCATCTGCATCGCTCCAGTCGTCAGCTTAGCCCGTGTTTAGCACCTCGTAAACAAAAGGTCCAAGCGTGAGTGTGTATGTACCAAACGCACACACTCTCAGCCTGACGCGGCGCACGGACATTTGCGAGAGTCAAACGGACGAGATCGGCATAGCCGACATTGTCCGTTACAAGATAAAAATAAAAATGAGCGTTTTTTACGTCAAGTACAGTAGATATAAGACACGGTGCATGCGCAGCACGCAGCCATGAACCCCCTCGTACGCACGACATCTAAAGGTTTCAAATGACTATATCTTGATATACTATTCCTATTAATAAAGATATCTTTCAGCTAAAAGTTTTATAAACTTAAATAAACAATAAATAACACTATGAGTGACGTGCCTTTTCATACTATTATTTGCTACAGTAAAGGTCTAAAAAATATGCAATTGAACAGTAAGGACATGGTACTCCTTTAAATGAATCAAAATTGTTACCAGGAGCTTACTAATGAATTATTATCAATTTAGCAGTCCTTTCTTTGTACTTTGGGATGTAACATGCCTTCCTAAAGAAAGTACAATAATTTTTTAATTAAACTAAATCGATCATAATTTTTGGCGGGAGCCTGCTTATGAATTCTCATGGATTTAGCTTATTAAATATAGAGTTTTTTAAATACTGCTTAGATTATGGCTACTCTTTTCATTCACTAATCATATCTAAATTATATATTTACATGATTTACTCTTTAGACACTCGTCAAAAAACTTGAGACTACTGGTACTGTAGAAGCTAAACGCAATCCTCGGCAACATAACCCTTTAACGCTCAAATGGCCAAAATTTCAACGTCAACTTCAAGCTCGTGCCTTTCAATTATAACCCATGTGAAAAAAATATTGGGATACATATATTTGTGTAAAAAAATCTCATTTTTCGAATGGCATCATTAAATTTATTGAAAAATGAACGTAAACAGTTTATTTTTAACAATAAACAAAAAAAAATGCAAATTTTCAAAATTTTTTTCTTTTGAGGAATTTTTTCAACTATGTTCTCGGTACTCCAATATATCCTAACCTATCAGGATACGGGACCCGAAGGTTGTACTTCAAAAATATATCTTTAGATACTTCGATGTTGACTGTTAATCGATCCAACATGGCGCCCGAATGCCCGAAATTATTGCAAAATCACAGAAATTTGCACTTTTGAAGTCGAATCTAAGTTTTAGCAGGCAAAGTGACTTTTTTGAGTTTTATGTCAAAAGATTGGATGCATATTAGCAAAATTAGCTCACGCAATTGATTTTCAAGATGGCGGCCGCCAAGAGTCAGCTGAAATAACATATTTACACTTTTTTATAGCCTCTGTATCCAATCCTCTTTTTTTGATCGTTAAAATATCGCTAAGACTAAACTGAGCTTCATCGGGTTTATTCATAATAAAATCTACGATACGATTAAGAAAGTTCGATTCTCCACGGTTAGCCTTGGAACCTCTTGATTTAAAAGGCGGATTATCCCTACATTTCCTATAATAACCGGCTTCAACTTTGACCAGGCACGAAACACGTGAAATGCGGCTTACAAATTGTTTTGCTTCTACATTATCGTAATCTTTATACTTAATGATCAAATTATCTCTATACTTTTGGCTATTAACATATGACACAGCTTGAACAGCTCGACCTGGTACGACTAAAATTTGTCCACAGAAAAAACAATTATTTTTAAAATCGAAGTCGACATTGACGCTGCGAGTCGAAGTACTCGGCTGTGATTGTACAGAAGAGGCTCGGTATTTTGTCAAGTGTTGTTTTGAATTGTAATTTTTCGAACAGGTGCTGTGAACTACTATTTCGTCTCGATCGGCTAAAACTTCTTCGACATCTTTGTCACTTCTTTTTTTACTCGATTTTATGAAATTTTGAATACCCGTACGTTTTACAGTTACAGTTGGAGTATCTTTCATTGACTCCTTGCATAAAATGCAGTTGACGGCCCATGTGTCTTCAACTGCTCCCGACTCGGCCATGGTTTGAGTCTTGGACTGATTAACTGTAAAAAAATATTAGAATAACTATTAATTATATAATCGGACTTTACGCCAAGTATTTTTATTACGAATTATTTAATTATTTCAGCTCATTTTCAAATGCGAGAACACGAAAAGTAATGAATTAAGCGTACAAACTAGAGAATACGACTACAGAGCAGGTAGAAAAATTCGTACAGTAGGGTCTCAAAAGAAATAGACTCCCTGCGGCGCACTGAAAAGCATTGCATTTGTCAAAGATTCAACCACGTTTGCAACGGTTATTTGAAAGAAATCTACGTTTGGCCAAATTTATTTATAATTCATTATTTTATTTGT